TGCCAGGCGGATGCATGTGCCTATGCAAACAAGATCAGCCCCTGGAGTTCTTTTCCACACTCGCCATAATTCACCACCAGATGTCAGGGTAGAGCTCATCCTGACTCTGCTTACACAACTAATGTTTGGAATCAAATTCACGTCACACAGGTTTAAAGAAAAGGCACTGTACATCTGGGGTCAAGCTTGGGTTATGAAAAATTAAAAGTCTTGGTTACAAAGCTGATGAGATACGTAGGATACATAACAAGCATTGTCCCAGACCAATGTGTGTGAGTTTTTAAGTGGTAGGGAATAAGTGTTCTCGGGTACGCCACCCATAGTGTATAGAGTCAGAGTCAGTAGCAGTAAAGTGGATTGGTACATGGGGTGGAGTTTGTCCCTTGGTCCATCGGTGTCTTGTGGGTCTTCTATAGACAGATACAGTCTGTCAGGGAAGGAAATGAGTTATTTCCCCGACTGTGTCCCTTGTCAGCGGTCTGGTTCTGGTATTGTTGGTGTCCTGTGATGTGTTCAGTGTATATGTCCCTGGACCATCAGATGGCGTTGGATACCATGAGCTGCCGCATTAGCCAGGCATAACGCTGACCAACTCCGCATGCTCTCAGCACCGGCTCGTTGTTGGGGTCCCACGCGCCCAGGGCTCTGACGATCAGGGTGTGGATCTGGACCTCGTAGCCCTGGGCTGTCAGTGTCAGCCAGCAGGGTACACTGGGCAATGGACTCTCTATTGTAGCATAAGTACTCAACTGTAGTTTTTTCTCCAGTTGCAAAGGGCACAACTGCCCTGCAGTGATTTATATGTTTATAGAGATGCTGGAATTTTCACAGCTGCCTAAGGGGTCTGAATGTTCAATTTTTGTTTAAAGTAATGGTTACTGAGTGTGCAAACCCCCAAGGCAGCTGTGAAAGTCCCATCCAGAGGGTTTTCTCACCTGAAGGGCTGTGAAAATTATGTAGAAATGTATCAGTGTCGGAAGCATTGGGAAGGGGAAATGTCTGTTCCAATGATTTCCCAGTGAGGATGGAAGCGGGTAATTCAGAGAAGCAGAAAGGAGCTGTGCTTTGTACTTGTGAAAGCTGGAACTGGATGTTGCACCTTTAGAACTGTCACCTACACACTCTGTCAGCACCAGGTGTGAACTGGTTTAGTTAGTGGCTTTAATTAACAGATACGTTATGTGGGTTGAGTACACATTTAGGTGACAGGGATACACTCATTTTGAGTTGTATGTAAAAGTCATGTATATGCCCAGAGAGAGAGAGAACTCTTGTCAGGACTGAGATCCCCACTTTGAACTTTAGGGTACAAATGTAGGGGCCTGCGTGAAAAACTTCTAAGCTTAACTACCAGCTTAGCTCTGGTTCGGCTGCCACCATCAATGGATTCCCTCCCTGGGAAGCCTTGAAAAACCCTCATCAAATCCCTGGTGAAAACAAATCCAAAACCTCTGGTATTATAAAACTAGGAGAAATTAACCATCCCCCCTCCTTCCTCCCACCAACTCCTGGTGAATCAAGATCCAAAACCCCTTTGGATCTAAAACAAGGAAAAATCAATCAGGTTCTTAAAAAGTAGATTTTTTATTAAAGAAAAAGCTAAAAAGCATCTCTGTAAAATCAGTATGTAAATTATCCTTA